GAGTCTGAAAACTAATGGCACCTTTGCCCTTGCTGGTTTGGCTTAGTGATTAGAGCATCAGCCCTCGAACTAAAGGGCGAGTAGATCAGTTGCAGGCTCGGGGCGGGTTCGGGAGGCAACCAATCGATGTTTACATAGATGTTTCTCTTTCTTTCTCCCCCTTTCACTCTCTCTGTAAAGCAATAGAGAAAGTATCCTCGGGTGAGGATTTAAAATAATAATAAAAATAAAAACTAATGGCCCCTTAGAATGCCACACCCTGCACTCCCCCACTTAATTAAGCCATATGAAGTGACAGAAGCTGGTTCGTCCAAAGACAAACCAGGTAAATTGCTCCTTTTAGTGGCGGCTTTAGATTTATATAAGGTTGTGACATGAGGGTTTTGTTTTGTTTTTTGGGGGAGCAAAAAAAGTCAGAGATTGGAAATTTATAACTGATTTAAAATTTTTTTTCCTTTAAAAAGTGACTTTGTGTTCCTCCTATTTGATAATCGTGCCTTTACTGTGGAATGAATGACTGTTCTTTCTCAACAAGGCTGATGGTTTTTGCTATAATTCTTTTCTAAAAAACTTTAAAGTTGCCATTGTTTAAATAAATGGTGTCTACATAAATTGGTTTTTGTAATTCATATAAAAATAAAAGTTGTGTGTTTATTGTATAAATAACTGGTGTCTATATGAATTGGTTCTTGTAATCCATATAAAATTGAAAATCAGCGCTATCATTCCACTTGGACCTTTTGGTAAATTGGTAAAAGCATACTATTTCTATAATGATTGAGTTGATTGTTGATCATAACCTAGTTATATTTTATGAGGTAAACTTTAGAGTAATACAATATTGGGGCAATGAATATCTCTACCTAAATATTTTTGAGAAACTGGAGTTCAAAATTAAAATGGATTGCCAGCAAAGAAATTAATACTAGTATATGTTAGGGACTAAATCTAAATTAAAGATCTAATATATGTCATACATACAGGCATATATATATGTGATGCACATATATACAGACATACACACACATATATGTAATTTTGAACAATGAAATAAAAACTAAAAAGATTTTATGTGTTTTTTTTTAATCCCCACCTGAGGATATTTTTTCCATTGCATTTCTGAGAGAGTGGAAGGGGGAGAGAGAGAGAGAAAGAGAGAGAGAAACATCGACGTGAGAGAGACACATTAATTGGTCACCTCCTGCACTCGCCCCACCGGAGCCTGCAACAGGGGTATGTGCCCTTGGCTGGAATCGAAGCCAGGGCCCTTCAGTCAGTGGACCAAAGCTCTAACCACTGAGCCAAACCGGCCAGGGCAAAACTAAGAGGATTTTAGATAAAGCTTCAGAAGCTTCTTTCTGGCTCTGGCCAGTGTGGCTCAGTTTGTTGAGCGTGGCCCCATGCACTGAAAGGTGGCCGATTTGATTCCCAGTCAGGGCACATGCCCAGGTTTTGGGTTCAATCCCTGGTCAGGGTGCATGTGGGAGGCAATCTATTGATGTTTCTCTCTTACATCAATGCTTCTCTCTCTCTTCCTTTCTCTGAAATCAATAAAAGCATATTTAAAAACAAAAACAAAAACAAAACAAAAATCTTCTTTCTGTCTGCATTGTCCCTTTCATTGATCCTGTGAAATTCTCCCTCAGGTTGTTAGATACTCTTCCTAATTTCTTCCTGGGGCTGAGACAGAGTGGCCTCTTTTCAGGTTACTGGTACTGTGCTAAGGTGCCACTTACAGGAGGCTCCTCTGGACAGATACCATGCAATATAACTGCCCGGTTATTTGGGTTGAGAATTCAGAAGAATAAGCACTGTCCTCACACGGCGCCCAGGCGTCCGGCACCTATGGACACGCGTCAGTGTGCAGAACACGCTGCTTCTTCCTAAAACCCAAGATGAAAAAGTACGGAAACCAACCTACTATAGACATTAGCTCATCAAATGTTGGAATAAGACTTCATCAGTATTGTCGTAGTCAGGGTGGGCTAGTTTGTGTTGCAAGAACCAGCAACCTTCTCCCTCTTCCTCCAATCTCACTGGTTTGGCTCAACAGAAAAGTGCCCCTCAGGCCCCGTTTCTTTTTTTTATTTTAAATATATCTTTATTGATTTCAGAGAGAGGAAAGGAGAGGGAGAGAGAGAGATAGAAACATCAATGATGAGAGAGTCATTGATCAGCTGCAGCCCGCAACCCGGGCATGTGCCTTGATCTGGAATCGAACCCTGATCGCCTGGATCCTAGGTCAAGGTTCAACCCTGAGCCACGCCCGGCCGGGCACAAGCCCCATTTCTGATGTAAATGAGCCATCAGAGCTCTGCTCAGTGACGTTACTTGAAGACTTGCTGGATAGAAGCTTCCACAACCACTTTAGAGGAAGGGGAAATGCCGTGAATTCTGTGCTGACCCTTAAAGCCTCACTCCAACTGATAGGTATTTCTGCTCATAATTCAGTGGCCAGAGAGAATCACACAGCCATAGCCACTTCAAAGGGTGCACGGTAGTGCAGTCCCGCCAAGTGCCAGGAGAGAGGAGTGACCACATTTGTGAAGGACCCTAAAATTACCACACAGGCAACACAAGTATATAATTCAGATATGGGATCGCAAGACAATATATGACATGTTTTACAATTAGTGACTCTTCCCTGGACATTTGTTTTTCTACTTGGGAGAAATTTGCCCATTTTAAAATTAGTTTGTTTGTCTTTTTATTATTGAATTGTTAGTGCCCCCCCCTTTTTTTTAAATCCTCACCAGAGGATATGCTTTTATTGATTTTAGAGAGAGNAAAAATTAGTTTGTTTGTCTTTTTATTATTTAATTGTTAGTGCCCCCCCCCCCTTTTTTTTAAATCCTCACCAGAGGATATGCTTTTATTGATTTTAGAGAGAGAGGAAAGGAGAGGGAGAGAGGGAGAGAGAAACATCCATCAGTTGCCTCCCCCATGCACCCTGACCGGGGATGGAACATGGGACCTGGGTATGTGCCCAGGAATCAAACCCATGACCTTTCCATGTAAGGGACAATGCTCCAACCAACTGAGCCACATCAGCCAGGATGCTAGTGTTCTTTTTATATTCCGGATACTAGATCCTTATCAGATATATGATTTGCAAATATTTTTTGTTGTTTCGCTTTCATCATGGTATAATTTTGCAGCACAAAGTTTTTTATTTTGATGAAGTCCAATTTATCTATTTTTTTCTTTGGTGGCTTGTGCTTTAGGTATCATATCTAACAAACCATTGCCCAATCCAATATCATAAAGATGTACTCTTTGGTGGGACTGCAAATTGGTGCAGCCACTATGGGGAACAGTATGGAAGTTCCTCAGAAAAAATTAAAAATAGCACTACGATATGACCCAGTAATCACACTTCTGGTTATTTACCCCCCAAAATCCAAAATACTAATTTGAGAAGATATATGCATTTCTATGTCCACTGCAGCATTATTTATAATAGCCAAGATATGGAAGCAACCCAAGTGCCCATCTATAGATGATTAGATATATATATATATATACAATGGAATATGACTCAGCCATAAAAAGAATGAAATCTTATCATTTTCAACAACATGGGTGGACCTGGAGGGTATTATGTTAAGTGAAATAAGTCAGGCAGAGAAAGACAAATGCCGTATGATTTCAGTTATATGTGGAATATAAAAAACCAAAATAAATGAACAAGCAGAGTAGAAATAGAGTCATAGATACAAAGAACATTTTAACTGTTGCCAGATGGGAGGGGGTTTGGGGTAAAATTGGCATACATCATAATATTAGTTTTAGATGTACAACATCATGATTAAATATTTGTATATATTGTGAAATGATCATGATAAATCTAGTTACAGAATTTTTTGTTGTGTTGAGAACTTTCAAGATCTACTCTCTTTAGTAACTCAAACATGCAATACAATATTGCTACCTATAGTCGTCTCTCTGTACTGAAAGTTTAAAAAATATATACATTTATCCTTATTTATGTCCCATTGTTCCATGTTATACTTCAAGAACATCTCTTCCTTCTGGATTATTTGTAGGTTGGATTTCTATGACTTGTCCTCCAATATACTTCTGAGGTCTTCAAAATGCCTTTATGCATTTTACATTTGGAGTATTTCTGACGTGAATCTTCTCTGTTATTGATCTGATTTTTCACACAGTCAAATCTGCCTTTTATTGCTTCTAGTGTGGAACCTGCTGCTTTTTTTCCCTTTTTTTTTCCCCCCCCATCACTGTCCTGTCCTATAGCACCTTGTTTCCTTTCTTTCTTTAAAAAAAAAAAAAACTAGTCTATTCTTGTTTGATGGTGGCCATGTCCTCTCAAATTGTTTCTGGGGTTTCCTACACCAGGGCCATGTCTGGTACAGAATGCTGAGGGCAAATGCAGGGTGACCGCCATCCTGCTGATGAGGAGGGGGTGGGCCTCATGTCAGAAAGAGCCAAGGGAAACGGTGGGGGTAAGTAGGGACAGGATATAGGCATAACATGTGTGTTAGGTACCTTACTGAGCACTTTCCAAATGGACCTCCTTTAGCACTCACAAAACCCTAAAAGTAGGTATTATTATTCCAACCCATCCCTCCATGTGCCTGGCACTCTTACCTATGCTGAACTAGATGGGAATGGAGAGTGGGCTCAGGAGAGCAAAGTGGCCCTCTAGTCCACCGATAATATGAATACCTTACTTTTGTTTACACAAAAATATTATTCTCATTACAATTTTGGGAGATTGGTTCAAAACCCCCAGAGAATAGGAAGCTGGGGTTTGGATAAGCTTAGTTGGGGCTCGAGCCCTGTCTCTGGATCCTTGCATTGTCTTTGACGTCTTAGGCCAGGGCGATGATCGGTGATGAAAACCACAACAGATGCGGAAACTCCCAGAAGTGGCATCATATCCTGTTGCACAACTTTCTGGAGCCACTAGGCCGGAGTGTCACCCTGTAGCTGTCCCAAGAGCCACGGTGGCAGTTGGAGTGGGTGCCCATGAAAGGATGAACAAGGCCGGGATCTGGGGACTGCTGTGGATGGCCTGCATCTTAGGTAAGGCAAGGAAGGCGGTAAGCAGGCGAGGCCTTTGCCCAGGAGCCAGGGAGGTCCCACCGTGAGAAGGATTCTCCTTTTCTTTGGAAGCTCCAGGAGATTTGACCCCCCAAGACAGAGCCAACCAATAGTTATGCCAGGCTGGCTCTGTCTACGCCAACTTAGCAGAGTCAGGGCTGATAACCCAGGTGGGCAGGTGGGGTTTGGTCCTCATGGGCCAGTGCATTTGCTTGCGTCTTATTCATGTTTTTCAAAAGGAGAACCGGGAGAAGGTGGAGGGTTGAGGGTTGTGCACTTGTGTCCTGTGGGGGTAGGATCGGGGTTAGCTAAAAGCTCCTTCTAGTTTTTGTGACCAGGGAACAGATTCACTAGGCACCATTCCCACTTGGGCTGGGACTGCACTAATCCCAAGCAGACAGCTTCTGTGGGCCATGTAGCTCAGAGGTTTAGGGCTGACTCTAGAGCCAGACTATCTGGGCTTGAGTTCTGACTCTACCACTTTCTATTGCAGGATCTAGGGCAAGCCACTCAATAATCTCTGCTTCGTTAGATAGCCTGTGCCTTGATTTCCTTACTCTCAAATAGGAATCATAGCGGTATCAATCTTATAAGTTATGAAGATTAAAGGGAAAAGTTATGAAACTTAAATGAGATAGTATTTCAAACACGTAGCAATAAATGTATTTTTTTTTAGTCTTTTTTTTCTAGCCTAGTATAAGGAATTTCTTGAACTGGTGGGAGAAATGGCACACAGAGAGCATTAGTGTTGATTTCTGACTGTCTCCGTTCACAGTGGACAGTCAAGTTTGTAAGCCATCTCAGTCTCCTGGGACTTTTACTATTTTAGTCCACTGGGGCCGATCTAACAAAATACTACAGACTGTGTGGCTTATGAACAACAGGCATTCATTTCTCATGGTTCTGGAAGCTGGAAGTCCAAGGTCAGGGTGCCAGTGCGGTTAGGGTCTGGCGAAAGCCCTCTTCCAGGCTGCCGACTGCCGACTTCTTACTGTGCCTTCACATGGTGGAAGGGGAGCTCTCTGGAGCCTCTTTCACAGGGGCACTAATCCTGGTCATCAGGGAAAAGCCCTCCTAACCTGATCCTCTCCCACAGGCCCCACGTCCTAACACCATCACATGGGGGATCAGGATTTCAAAGTATGAATTATGGGTAAAGTAAAGTTACGCAGACTTTCAGCTTATAGCATCCACCTTGCCCAGGGAATTGGCAAACAAATTTATCTATAACATTAATTAAGAGAAATATAGCAATGAAGTTTCATATCCCACTGACCTATCAACTCCAGCGAGAAAGAGCATTCTTCTTAGTAGCCACGGCAGTCTCAGGGAGAATTGTAACTGGCCCAGCCCCAGTCATGTGCCGGTTCCTAAACCAATTACAGCTCCAGGGTGATGGGGCTCTTTGACTGGCTAAGCCTGTGTCGTGTGTCTGCCTTTGAGAATGTGGGCAGCTCCATGAGTAAAGGCACCTAGGACCCGTCCCTGAGATAGAGATGCCCTGCTACCCATGGAAGGTACAGAGGAATAGCAGAGTCAGATATCTACGTCCCCTATGTCCTCAAGACAGTTTCCTCACCGTTTTTCCAATAGTTTCTTGAACTGATCTATTTCTCCTGACTTAGAGGAAGTTCCTTCAGCTGTTCGAAGGAGTCGCTCTCTGTTGGTATTGTGTCTGCACACCCACTCTTTTTTTTTTTTTTTTTTTTTATTTTTTTTTTTT